AAAAAATAAATCTGTAGTACATTCATTAGACCTCTCGTCTTCAACAAGACATTGCTTTCCAGTAGTAGGTGCAGCATTAAATCGGAATTGATTTCAATCATGCTGAGTTTCCATCAGTCCCTAAGGTAAAAGGGGCTTGTTAACTTCATGTGCAATATAAGTTACAATATTGTCTTAATTAGTCTGATCAATACTATGTGAAAAGAAAAAGCTGTTGATAGACTGTCAGTAGCAGAGGATGTAAAAATAGCTGCAATAATTAAGTATAAATAGAAGGCTATGCTGATTTTTCAGTACCACTTAAAGGAAGTTGCATTTTAGCGCATATTCCAATTTCATCTGTAATGTCTCAAAAATCAGCAAGGCTTTCAAAAGGAATACATTATTGCCATTGAGATTGGGTCTATGGTTTATCATTTGGTTATGATATTGTAGCTGAACTTTTTAAGAACCACCTGTCAGGCTTTCCAGGCAGCTCGGCACCCGTGTCTTTTTGTGATAAAATCATCAGAGAATTCTTGAACTGGTATTTGGTTTCATAGTAGCATTTCATTCTTTTTCTACTGGTTGTTAATTGTTCAGTGTGGAAAATCCTCTGTCAGAAGACCTTTGGTTTTCTGCCTTCAAAACAGTAATGTACTCAGACCAAAAGATTTTACAAATATCTCAAGATTTACAAGCCATGGAAAACACCTTCAGACACAATAAAAATCGTAAAGGAAACAAAGCATCAAATATTTCTTCTGTAAGACTTCACTGACATCTTATGCTGAAGGATGACCCTTTCCAGCTCTGTAGATGTGTTGATAATTTCTTCAGCCATTGCAAGCTGAGAGTGCCTTAACAGAAAATGCCATCAAAAGAACCCAATGGTGTTTGATGATCTTGTAGAGAAGGAACTATGTTCCTCTTCAGTATTGAAACATCCGAATTCTAGTTGCATAGTACGATGTTAAACATAATTTTGTCTTAATATTACTATCTGTTTAAAGGGAACAATAATACTTTGACCCTCCCAAGAGCTGAGGATAGCTAGTCGGATGATGTTTTCACAACCCTTTGGAAGGGTCAAGTACATACTGCTGGTAGAGATAATGATGGTGATGGTTGTCACCCTCAGTGCCATAGCCCTCAGGTAGTGTTCAACATGAGCTAAACTTCAGCAACACCTATGTGGTGTTGCTGTGTTGTGGCCTGTGGTAATGTATCGTTGATTATAAAATTTGTAGTATTCTTGCATCTTGCTTTACGTGTCAGACTTGTCAAGAGTTGAAATAGCTTGTTTAGCTCTGCAGGAGTTTAAATTTTTCTTCCAACATTTGTAATACTATTCTGACCACACAAGTCTGAAATTTCTTTCCTCACACCCAACTACAAGACAGACATTTGGTTTTTTTTCAAGAGTACACTTAGCTTATTCCAATACAATATGTATTATAGAGACATTGATCTGAAACACTTCCTTCTGGCAGACAAAGGATATTTGAGCCAGGCTCTGCTCTGGGATGGCCAATGCCAGGACAAGGGGCAATGGTCCCAAGCTGGAGCACAGGAGGTTCAAGCTGAAGATGAGGCCAAACTTTGTGAGTGTGAGGGTTATGGAGCATGGCCCAGGCTGCCCAGAGAGGTTGTGGAGTCTCCTTGTGTGCAGACACCCAAAGCCCTGGCCGTGTTCCTGTGTGACTGCTCTGGTGATCCTGCTCTGGCAGGGGTTGCACTGGGGGAGCTTTCCAGGTCCCTTCCAACTCCTCATGTTCTGGGATTCTGTGATTTTATAAGAACTTCACTTTGGCTTTTAAAGAGCCTCTGAGATCAGTTATGATTTTTACAGAGAAATCTCTCCAGAGCTCTCCTGGGAAGAACCGTGCATAAACCCTGTTACAGCATGCTCTCCTTATAATATCTTTTATTTATTTTTAATTTTTTTTTCCAAACCAGGAAAAATTGTGGTGGTTTTGATGTCCCAGACAGCTCAACGGACAACCTGAGTATTTTCTTTGTTTTCCAGACTTATTTTATAGGACAGACCGGACATATCGCTGCAGGTTAATACAGTCTGGAATTTATTCTCATGCTGATAATATCGTTTGGTCTCTTGTACCATCCTCACATACTTACTGAAATTATCAATAATGAGAATTTTACTGGAGAAAGGAATCTGTCTGCTCTGTATCTGTGATATATTATTTTCTGGGATAGTCACTCAAGAAAGTTTTTCCAAAAGGCCCTGAAGTTCAATACCACACAAGCACAGGTGTGGTGTGTAGTGATTGAGTAATGTACTATCACAATTTAGTGCCTACCGTAAAACTATTGGGTTTTTTTCTCTCTCTTTTTTCTTCTCTTTTTTCTTTTTTCTTCTTTTTTTTCTTTTTTCTTCTTTTTTTTTTCTTTTATTTTTTTGTTTTGTTTTAACACTGGCATTTGGTAGTACCACGAAAACAAAGTATGCTGTTATTTTACGTTCCAGGTGAGTTACGGATCATTGCCAGTGTATCAGCAGAAGAGAGAAAGTGTTGCTGCACCTCAGAACTCATGCTGCAATAGCTGTGTTCTGTCATTAGGTTCTCATCTGCATGACACAAGCCTTTGTAGCAGAGCAATAAATTTCTTCCTCAAAAATATATTAGTTTGAGTTAGGAGGTTCTCTACTTTCTGCTGCCATGATGTTTACATCTATTAATACACCTGAATATTTCTATTTTGTAAGAGGAAGATTACAATTCTCTCCCTTAAACCCTATCTCTGGCCTGCAGCTCTTAAGAGCAGGGTAATGCAGGTTCACATCACTCTTAAGATCAATAATTTGCAAAATTAGATTTCATAAGATTCTCTATCCCCATCTCATTCTTTCTATAACCTTGTTTGTGTCTACTAGACACAGCATTCCTTGCAGAAACTCCCTGGGTGGTTCCAGTGTTAGCATTCTTGGAAATGCATGCCCTGCAAGCTATTCAGTTGCAACCTCAGTATAATGTGGTGTCTACTCTTTAGGAGACAGGGCACAGAAGTGTGACTTAAAATTGTAGAATGGTTTGAGTTCGAAGGGACCTTAAAGATCAAACCAAGGTACTGAACACTTCTACACACTTCTATTTCTAGGTATAACGCATACCTGATTGGAGTTGAATATCAAGTTGTCATGTTAAACTAAATTCATTGATAATTTTAGGTATCAAAAAGAATAAATATAAGAGGCTTGATATTACCCAGGTGAAACACATTTCCTGAGTACCACAGTACCAAGAATTGGCTGGACGCTCTAGAGGAGAAAAAGAACCAAGATAGCAACTTTTAATAATAAAAGTATTGACTCTTTCTCTCTTTTCAGGAGCTGCTGAGAAAAGTTCCAAACATGGTGCAGAAGATAAAACACAGAATATTATTAGTGCTATGAAGGAAAGAATGAAGATTAGAGAGAAAAATAGACCAGAGGTGTTTGAAGTGATCCAGGAAATGTTTAATATTTCCAAAGAAGATTTTGTACAATATACAAAAGCAGCAAAACAAAGTGTTTTGGATGGAACATCCAAATGGTCAGCAAAAATAACCATCACAGGTAAATACCCTTCTGAATTGTCTACTCTAAGAGCTCTAGCTTTCCTAGCGCCCTGGTTTGGGAACAAACTTTATTATCATTAGAGCTGGAACTGTGTGTTCAGGTTTGTATTTGGATCTATAAAAGGTTCAATTTATAGCTTACTAACTGGAAGAGTTTTAAGGTACAACTGTTCACAGATCTACTTTGTATTCCATTGCTCTAGGAAGGAAGAGAAGTAAACGGTCTTCTTGTGTCTCTCTACCTCCTACCAGTATCTCCTGTGCTAGTGCTGAACTTTTTGCCACTCATTGCAGGCATTAAAGTTCACAATTGCATTTATGGATTTTAATGGCTGTAATGTTAAGAACACTGCAGCCTGCAATTCCAGACCCCATTGATTTGAAACTCGGCATCCATTCTTGTTGCTTGACTATGGGAGTGTTCCAGTTTAGTGATGCTGAGCCAGGGAAACCCACATACCCAGAGCATAATGAAGATTGCTGCCAGCTGATTCCCAGGTTGTTTAACTTTGAAACTGAAATTTCAGGTTTTGAATTGTCCTGCTTACTGGACAAGTTGTTTCCGTTATTACCCACTCACATTGTAAAACTGTGTCCTTATACCCAGCTGGGATTTGTCTTGCTGCAGCTTGCAGCTGTTACATCTTATTGTTTCACTATGTGCCATTGAGAAGTCTGGCTTCAAAGAGTAATAAAACAGTTTGGGTTGGAAAGGACCTTTAAAGGTCATCTAGTGCAACCCCTCCTGCAATGAGCAGGGCTATCGTCAACTAGATGAGCTCATCCAGGAGCTCAATGTCTCTGTGACGTGATTTTTAGGTAGTTGAGGACTGAAGCTTGATCTCCTCTTAACCTTCCTCTTCTCCAGGATGAGCAAACCCAACACATTAAACCGTACTTTCAAGGTAAAGGTGATGCTTTAACAATGAGTGAGAAAGTAACTGCTTTTTGAAAGAAACTCGTGTTATGGTGAGAGCATTATGAAAATGGACATTTGGAAATGTTTCCATCATTATGTGATTTTGCTGCCCAAAACAATGTGTGTCACCTACAAAAAGTCTAATCTGTACACTTCAGGAGAGCTGCATTTCTGAGAAGACTGCAGTGCTTGATTTAGTGGAAAACAAAGTTGATAAAGCATTTTGTTACACTGGTTATGGGTTTTGAGGTAGTCAGGTGCAGAAGCTAGGGACAGTGAAAGCCAGGGCAGCTGACCCAGGCTGGCCAACAGAATTATTTCCTACTGTAAACATCACCCTCACTATAAATTTGGGAGTTTACTGGACATGGTCTCTTTCTTTCCTCAATGGTCATCATCCCCAGAAAGTCTTGCCCATCATTATGCTCCCAAGGCCTACTCCCTGGCTTCTTGTACCGTCATGTTTTCCTTGGAGCTGTTGTGCTTGTTGTATTCATTATCTTATCCAGCACTCACTGCTGGGAGTGAGCCGCCCACAACTGCTGGATGAGCCGAGTATAACTTTGTGTTCTGTTGTTGTTATTACTGTTTTTATTATAATTATTCGTTTCATTTATTTCAATCATTAAACTGTTTTTATTTCAACCCCTGACTGTTCTGACCTTTCTGCTCTGATTCTGACCCCCAACCCACAGAGGAGGAAGGTGATGAGTGAGGGGCTGTGTGGTGTTTAGCTGCCTGCTGGCTTAAATCACATTATCCTGAGATTTCCAGGTTTATGAATTATGATGGAAAATCAAATTGTGTATATTTATATGTGCCACAAAATGCATCTACATTAACTATACACCCACAGTAACTATCAGAAACACAGACAAACACATAAACAGTTAATTATGATTGGTGTAAACTGTCAGCCTATCTGTGATAGAATGGGAATGATTCTGAAAATCCTCATTGTTCATCTCTCACATGAGGAAAACAAATGACAAAGTCATGATCGTGCCCCTCAAGTTGAGTTTCATAATCCACAATGCAGATTTTTTCAAACTGGAGATTTATTTTGGAAATTTTAGTTTGGATCTTTGGAAAAGTTTTGGAAATATGTATTTATTTATATGGGAAAATGGAAATTTTAGAGAATTGTTAGGCTCAGGTCAAGTTATACAACAACATTATAGTACTTGGAATGCTGAGTAAACCTAAGTTTGAGAAGAGTATCTGAATTATGCATGGCAAGAAAAGTATTTGTTTTGTGCTTTGTAGTGAGTCTTTAAATTTATTACTCCATTCAACCGTATTTGTAAATTTTATACAGTCCAGAAAGGTGGTTACAGAAGCTTTGTCTATCTGTAAAGTAACAGATGTTGGGAAAATTAATCCAGAAAGCTTTGTTTCAGGAGCCCTCAGTCCGAGGGCTTTGTTTCCTGTTGCTGTTGTCACTGTCTCTTTTATTTCCTGGCAATGAAGGCTGTGAGGGCTCAAGCGCTTTTCTCTCCTTCTGTTGCAGTTCTTTGCGCTCAGGGCTTACAGGCTAAGGACAAAACTGGCTCAAGTGACCCATATGTTACTGTGCAAGTTGGCAAAAACAAGCGGAGAACAAAGACTATTTTTGGAAACTTGAATCCAGTATGGGACGAAAAATTCTATTTGTAAGTGTAGAAGATACTGTTGTTTCTTGCTTTTTTTACATTTACAATTAGGTAATATAACACTGCCAAGTGAAATAATTACTTAATTTCAAAATCTTTGTTGTCTATACTATGCATATTCATAACATTAATAAATTAGCAAATTCTGACTAGAGAGAGCAGAGGATTTTATAGTGACTTTACCATATAGTAGTCATACAGCTTGTAATTATGTCTTCATGGGATCTATTGGTGGTGTCTATTTATTCCAACATTTTTTAGAGAACTTCAGTAACAGTTTTCAGACTTCAACCTTATGTACTAAATGCTGGCATTGCAAATGTCTTTCTATATCTCGGATACTGACCATGCATTTTTATTCAATTTTATGGTTTCCCTAGGTGAAACTGAGGAATCTGATAGTAACTGGCATGCTTCAGGCTGTGGGATGGGCTGTTTGTAATGTCTGTCCTTCCCAAGACTGAGTGTTGTCCAGAAGTCTAATGCAGAGAGCATGGTACAATCCTCCTGTCCCCTTTCTTTGGCCACAGCCTCTGAACTCAACATGGTATAGTTTGTTATCAGCATATCGCAAAAGTTCAACCCTGACTGCAAAAGTAGACGTTTCAATCTGTAATATGTTGACGACAGTTTGAATATGATTTCATGCCATTTCTAGTTGTGGCAATGTTCCTAGACACTCTTTCAGAAAGACATGTCACAGTACAAGAAATTCCAGTTCACAGGTACTACACTGTTCCTTTCCTGAAAATATTACCCTAAAATACAAGTTCCTGACTGAGAATATGACCAATCTGATAATACTATTGATTTGCTCAGCGTTATTCCTCTCCATGTAGCAAAAATATCTCAGCATTCATTCTTTTCTAAGCTTGATTGCTATGTGCTGCAGAGTATGATGTGCACTTAACCACTATTGTTAAAGTCAAATAAGGATTCTGAAAGGCTAATGTAAACCCTTTAAGTGAAAGAGAACTGTTTATTTAGGCAGGTTTTTTAAATTATGCAGAAAAGTTCAAGTGTACCCTGAAAGTACCTATCACGGTATTTTCATACAAAATCAGTAGGTATTTTATGGAAGCTGTGTGAAAACAGTAGTGTAGTAAATTCTGAAAAGAAGAAATGATGGTAATAAAGAAGGATATGTAAGTTCTGCGTTTGTTCAATACAACGGTTGTATTTACATTTTTACTGAGAACATGTGCAAACTGTTGTCACATTATAATAATCTAATTTTTTGGTACTGCATGACAAAAGTTTAATATGTTCATGCTTAATCGTGCTATTCAAAACTGGATGTCAATTTGATACAACTTGATGAAACCCTGTATCAATGATGATAGAAACGATGTGTCATTTTTACAAGCAAGTCTGAACGTACAAAGCAGCGGCAGAACGGCTCAGGATCCTGCAGACTGCCCAGTCAACGTTCATAATCTCTACTTAGTCATCATGTGCAACAGACAATTTCAAATTAACCACTCACCACAATGTAAAATAATTGTCTTCAGGCTATAACACTTAGTTTCTTCTTACATTCCTTTCCTCCTATTAGGGAGACAGCAGTTGTCATTATTCATATCTACATAAACCATGGAAACCATTTCTGTTAGGATTCAGGCATTTGACATAGAGCTTTGTTTTCTTTAAGGAGGTGCAGTGTCCTGACACAAGAGGATACCTTCTTGCCATGTAGCGCAATAGCTATTTTCTCTTTGCTGTTCTTTGACTAAAAGTTGCTGCCTTATTGTTGAGGAGGTTGTTATTTCACTAGTGAGTCTGAAAGATGTGTGACTCGAGGTGCCACTTCTATTTGTCTGGAAAAGGTACCAGGTATTCCAACTGTACTAAACAATGTATGCCCATTCCTTTCTAGGGCCATTACTAGAAATGTAAGTTAGTACTAGAAATAAGCAGTTAATTCAGAGAAAACATAGACTCAGAAACTTTCTCAGGCTTCCCCTGTACAAATCATGTTTTCTTTTTGAGTTACTTGTGTTGCTGCAGTACCAGTTGAAGTGTTATCCTCACTGAATGAATGTGAGTAACCAAAGGCAGGAGATTAATTACTTTCTTGGATTTAATTGTAGGAGTTGCATAGTGTCAGAATTTAGATGAGCAGTTTGGCAAATTTGGTATGAAGTTTTAGATGTATTTTCTCAAAGATGTGAGCAGAGCTACCATAAAATCCCTGGGAACTTGAAAAATGTTATATATTTTAGTTTTCACCCAGCACTAGGTACTGCTATCAGCTGCTGCTCTAGCAATGACATTTATTAAAAAAACCTTAAACCCTACAATACCATCAGTCTCCTGAGTAACTGCTTTGAACTGAATACATTTTTCAATCGCTTTTATAGCACTTGTACTTTCTAAAATAAAGTTATCTCCCTGACTTACTTAATGCATTGGATTTCAATTGAAAGTATGTGAGAATTTCTAAAGTGTATTAAATAAATAATAAAAGTTTAACCACAAGAATAAATCTAAAGTAGATCAATGTAACTATTTCATTAACTCAGGAGGTATCACTTAAATTCACTAGCTCTACTAGTGATGTTTGATAGTCCTATTCAAAATCAAATACTAATTATGATTATAATTCCTTAGTTATAATTTACAGAAATAAAATACATCTCAAAAATCCTACAATCGTATATTTACTTATAATACCAAGACATTAATTTGAATCCTGTATCTGTTCCAAAGCAAGGATTTGGATAAAACATTGGCTCCCCACTGTGCATTTGCTCTGTCATGACAGAGCGAGGGCAGTGTTCCAGTCTGCAGAGAAACACATAACCCTGACGTGGTTGGTTGGTAAGCAGAGAGTGAATGTTTCTACCAAAACATAAGGTGACCCTCTGCTGTGTGACTGTGGGACACTGACACAGATTTTAACGTGGGGACTCATAAACCATAACTAAAGTAGAGATTAAATATGCATGCACCTCAGTGAAAAAACAAGGCTGCCAGAGGAAGAATACAGCTTTCCTTGAAATATTGGTTTGGTTGGTTTTACACAAGAAAGAGAGGTATATGGGCCTGCGGATGGTCCTTTAATGAACGTAATCTAGGTGATAAGGACTTTGAGCCTTTCTACTGGCATTATTAGAAAGGAGGTAACAGAGCAGGTTTTAGTTTTCCGACAAAGCATAAGTTGATAGGGGAGTTTTTTCAATGCCAGAGCAAAAGGAAGGGTCTTGCAGCTATCTCTCACCTTCCCTCTTCTGGTTGAGCATCTGATATGGGAAAAGGGACTGCAATTTTACTTTTTAGTTACAAGGAAGAGATATTTTGGCGGTATAATTTTCAGCTTTGTACAAACGTATACATCTATACACTAGAATTCAATTCTTCTCCGTCTGCATTCTTTTCTTGACTGTTTTCAGCAGTTGATCGCTGAAATATGGAAATCTGCTCTTTTCTGGCACTGTTGACTAGCAAGCACACATCTCCAAATTGCCTTGCAGACTTTGCAGATATCATGTTTCCTGTGATAGCTCATTAACACCTCGGATATAATTGTATCATACAGAAGTCCTTGATATAACTGGATGATTATTTTACATTACTTATTCTTTCTATTTTGGCTGTCACTAGGCCACCATATGGCTTTGAAAAATAGCTTCATTGGATATCTTTCAGTGCATGAAAATGTTTGATCTAACTTATTTAAATTAGACCAACGAGAATGGGTTGGTTTGGGGTTTTTTTGAAGACTGTGGTTACCACCTAACCAACATAATGGTCATCACTAAACTGTTAGAAATTGTCTGATTTCCAACATTCTTGATGATTTCCCAGTGATATATTGAAAATGTCGATGCAGGCATAAAATCCAATAGAGAGATTTACAACTGCTCACATTGAAAAAAAAAAAGAACACAAAGCAAAACCAAACCAAAACCTGTTTGTTCAAACAAACTAGAACATTGCCGAGAATTCTTACTGCTATATATTTTAGCAGATAATACTGTGAAAAGTATCCTCTAGTACCAAACATTGTTGATGTGGAGGCTGTGATAGTTAAAATCTCTGTGTTTTTCAGAGAGGCTGTTCAACTGCTTTATATTTCAGGTATTTCCCACATATTTCAGTCTAGAGTTTCTGATGAAGTGAGAATTTCTGGCAGCTATTTCAGGCATCCAGCTGTGGAGGTTCTTGCCTAGAACCTGAAAGAGCAGCACTTGCACAGTTTATTTGTACTGCAGAGAAGTCATCTGTGGATTCCTTTAAAGAAATACTTACTATAAGCAGTCATGTCTATGAAATAAATACAAGAGGGCCTTACCAAAGTCCTTTCCTACCATCGTTTTATGGATTCTCAATCAACTGAACTAACTTGTAAAAAGTATAATCTTCACTGTATCTGAAGACAACAGGACTGGTTAACTGTTTAAATGGTGTTTCAACTTCCAGTGATATCTAAACACAGTCTTGTGAGAATTGTTGGAACAGCTTAAGGATTGTGTCACAAGCATGAGTATGTAACATATATTACACAAAATACCACTACTTATATTGCACAAAAGAATTGGGTAATAGAAATGTGCAAATTAGTTTACTGGATTTATTAATGGACCTTATTGCAGCCTTCCAGTTCCTGAAGGGGTCCTACAGGAAAGCTGGGGAGGGAGTTTTTACAAGGGCAGGTAGCAATAGAATGGGAATGGTTTTAAACTGTACTAGGATAGGTTTAGACGGAATATTAGGAAGAAATTCTTCACTGTGAGGGTGCTGAGACACTGGCCCAGGTTGCCCAGGGAAGCTGTGGATGTCCCCTCCCTGGCAGTGTTCAAGGCCAGGTTGGATGGGGCTTTGGGCAACCTGGGCTGGTGGGAGGTGTCCCTGCCCATGAGGTGTGGACTTGGTGAGCTTTAAGGTCCCTTCCAACCCAAACCATTCTATGATTCTATGAAAATGTGCAAAACTGGAAGTGAGCAGGCAAAAGTACTGCAAAGGCTTGCCAACCAAGTTAATTTTCTGTGTCTCAAACATAGAGTAATTTGTCTGCTGATTGCTTACAGAATTTCACAAAGATATGGTATTTTATTGGAAAAAAAATTATTTTCTTTAAGTTATAGAAATAACACTTCTTTAGAGCAGGGAAAAAACCAAAAAAGCTTTCCACCTAGACTAACTATTCAGAGTATGCCAATTTTTTAGTACATGTAAGAGTTTTTACTGAAGACTACAAGGCAACTATGCTATTATGAATGTATTTCATTTTGACAGAGTGGGAAATCAGTCTCCCTGCATTCTTTATAAGCTTCTTCATTCATTTGCATTTATATCTTTTCTGAATGTAGCATAGTATTAATTAGCTGTTCTTTTAATATCGCATGCAGATCTCCTACATGAGGTGTACAATCAGGTCATGCCAGCGCAGCTAATATTAAATTTCCATGGGGCTGCTATAGTAAAGACAGTTTATTAATACATTTCTAACTAGTCTGGCCGTTGGAATAAGCAGGAATTTTTATTTCATGTCTGTGCAGCATTCTGTAAATGCAGAAGTAATGTAACGTCACTGGTGCTGATAAATTATTAAAACTATCTCTTCTGTCTGGCATCTCTGAATGTACTGCAGCTTTTCCAGCTTTCAGAAGTATCAGTATCTTCATTCTCTGTGCGATAAAGAACAATTCACTTCTCATCTTCCTGTACCACCCATTAGTGAGTACTTTTACTGAGAATATAAAGCAGAGTGGCTAGAAGAGGAAGACTGAAAACAGCATAAGTTGTTTTTGTCTTGAGTTCCTTGGACTGATTTTCCTGGAAAAAGTAAAAGAAGTAGGAATCCCACCCAATGCGCTTTGCAAAGCCACAGAGTTTCTGCATAGATGTTACAAGTGACTAAAGCAGAATGTACCTCTCATTAGACAGTGCTGTTTCTGAGAGGCTGGGCAGGTCACTAGAACCATGCAGAGACAGATCTGTATCTTCACTAGTAAATCCCCCTGCAGTCTCACTGCCACAGGGCAGGTCAGTAGAAATAAGTGTTCATCCCCCCTTCCATTCTTGCATCACAAACCTGTGCTAGTTTGGGGTCCTTGCACAGTAGCATCACAAACATGTAGCAGAGCTAAAGGTTTAAACACAAAGATGAGTATGTCAGTAAACCCATTCATTGTGATAGGTCTCAGCGTGTTCCACTGAACTAAGATTAAAGGAGAAAACGATGTGGGAAAGACAAATGAGGATATTAGGGGAAAGTGCAGTCATTCTGATGGCCTGAATAAATATCCTTTAATTAGCTAAGTATACATCAGAGGGTAAATGGTGTTGTCTCAGTAGAATAAAAACATGGTATTTGTACTGAAGTACCATTTAATGATTTTTTCTATGCAGCATATCCTTGAGAAGCAAAACAGGAACAAGATTTCTACTGATAGCACAGATATGAGGATGAGGGTCACATGAATGCCTCACCAGTGAGGGATCTCTATGCCACTGTAGATATCCCCCGTTTAATATTTCTATTGGGTGCACAGCTAAATGAAATTCAGAACTCTAACAATGTTTAACAGTAATTCAGGGCTAAATTTTAGGAAGATAAAATGGGGTTAGTCTAGTTTCTTAAGGCAAGGATGTTTATTTGATCCATCTGTGCCTTCCTGTATTTCACATGTCCTTGCAATAGCTTTTGAATTTTGTGGTCGGTCAGAGAAATTTCACAGATTGTCTAATAGTACATCCATCGTGTTCTATAAACGTAGGTGGTCACACAGAGGTGAGATCCTAACAGTGTCCTCAGTAGGAGCTCACGCTATAGTAGACACCAGGGAACCCATATAAAGGGGTAATTTATGAAAATCCCAATCATGGGAAAAGATTCAATAGGTGATTGCAGTTTGTTAGATGTCAGAGAAGCCAGCCATAAGATAAAAGGAAAGTAGGTTCATTAGTTTTGCTAATCACAGAATAATGTGTTTTAATTACCAGTGATATCTGCAATATTAAAATTTGGGATACAGACAGACAAGCCCTTCTGTGATACTGAATGATGCCACAGCGAGGCAGAGTAAAAGCTGTGCATGCCATCTTTGGTGACTGATTGGCCTTGACAGTAATAATACCATTTAAAGCACTTTATACTTCCAAAGCCCATTACCACTACTAATTAATTCTTGGAACACCCCTGAGGGGTGCCAGTTGGGAGATAAGTTATAGTATTACAGGTTTAATGCTGGAAATGCTGAGACAGATCACTGAGCTGTGATAGTGCTTGGAATAGTATTTAAGGAAGAACTGTTAATTTAGTGTCATACTAAGACCTTGTTGAAGATGAAAATTTTCTGTTATGCTTTAAAGTTATATTTAAAGATAACCAAGGAGTCACAATATTTTAAATATTTTTGTAGTCTTACTGAATGGATATATGAAATACCCAACCTGGTTAGTACAGATGCATGGTCTGTACTGGCCATTAAATGTCATCATGACGTTTTTCACTACACAGACTTCTGAGGTCAATGTTAGCATATTCCAGCACAGTCATCGAAAGCCAACACTGACCACTATCAAACAGTTCTCACTGTGGCTTGTAGGAATAAGCAGCAGTAGAGTTTCTTTTCCATTTCTGTGCACATACGTATGTGATGGAGCTGGGAGGAAAAAATTGTATCCACTGGGAACTCTGCAGATTGCAAGTGAAGCCACCTCACTGTCTCATACAGCCGGTAGTTTCTCAAATCCACTCAACTCATGAGGGGTTGGTAAGCCACTTAAATTTGCAAGGAATTTTTTAATACATGGCAGTCTGTCCCTATTCCCTCTCCTTGCCAGGAAATGGAGGTTTTGGAGAAAAGTAATAAATCTTTTAAAGAAGGCAGCTACTTATTTCCCTAGGTTTTTCTGATTGCCTGTCTTGTCTTCCTGTGGTGTCTGGTCATACTTGTTGGGTTGTTTGGGTTTATTTCACGAACTATCTGCCACATACTGGAAATATTATTTAAGATTTTCTCACTTTTTGTATTATAACAACCTAGGCTTTTGCAGTCTACCATATGTACTACACAGCATTCCTAAATTAATAAACCTGATCTAACTGTATCTTTCCAAATATATTTGTTAAATATTAGCATCAAGAACTACACCTTGTAAATTAATTAATCATTTTAATGAGAAGTTCATGGCATTCCCAAATACAATCCATATGTACACATAATTCAGACAAGTTAATCTCTTTACGTTCTCTTATCTACAGTAATTGTAGTTTTGTCCCTGGCAATGTGGGTATGGCCTTTTCTTTTATTCCACTGAATGCTTCAGGTTGGTTGTATTCTGTTACTTTATGCAGTTAAGCAAGTGTACAGAAATAGAGGACGATGAATTAAAAACAATATAAACTTATGTAGCTCGTGTGTCACTCACATTTTGTATTTTATCATTATTTTCACAGTGAATGCCATAACTCTACAGATAGAATAAAAGTGAGAGTATGGGATGAAGATGATGACATCAAATCTCGAGTAAAACAACATTTCAAAAAGGAATCAGATGACTTCCTCGGGCAAACAATTATTGAAGTAAGAACACTGAGTGGAGAAATGGATGTATGGTATAATTTAGGTATGATTCTTACTGATTTTTTTAAACAAATTTACATAGAATCTTAGCATCTGTAGATTCAGGACTTCAGAATATAGAGCTCTGGTGCCACTATAAAAAATATACCATTCTGGGCTTAATCATCTTTGGTTTTCACCATGTTTGACACCGGTCGTTCTTCATGGAGCTTGCTTGCTTGTGTTCTCTGTTCTGTACCTGTCAAACATGTTTCCATGCAGAGTCATAAACTGGAGCACTTTAAAAGTTAATCTCCTTTATTTGATAATAAAAATGTGATAGCAACATTTCTGTCCAGGTTGGATTCTCTATGAAAGTGTTGGGTGAAATATGTGACATAATTTTCTGAAATTGTAGAGGATGTGTTTCCTAATCAGCAGTCCTTGTTTCCTTGTCTAGTGTTTCATTTTTCAACGACATACATAGATGTGTCAGGGAACTATTTGATTTCTTATTGACAAAGAAAAGAAAGCTTTGCTTTATTTCCTATTTATAATGAGATTTTTTTTAAGGTGAGATAATTGGGTTATTATAAATTCTGAATGTTATGCCTTCAAAAATCTCAGTGATATAAAGGCTGCTATAAATTATTGTTAAATGGGTTTTTAAAACAAATCTTGCTGAACTGATTTGACTGGAAGCAGTTTAATAATAATGTTGAAAATAATAATAATTAGTACAGATACCAGGCAGAAAATGGGAATATTATTTATTGAAAAGGGGAAAATGTTGAATGAAGTCTGTGCAGCCGGCTTGAATTTGGCAGATAATACTTCATGGTGGTAGAATTAGGACTTTTGCTTCATGGTCTGAACCATATGTGAGGTATTAGAAGAAATTCTCTTGTTCACAAAACCATGCTTTAGAAAACCATTCTTATTAAGCTAGAAGGATTTATGAAAGCTTTTCACATGACATGTATGTACTCTTGTTAGTTACTAATTAATAATAGATTATTTTTCTCCTCTTCAGAAAAGCGAACAGATAAATCAGCTGTCTCTGGTGCCATTAGACTGAAAATCAACGTTGAAATAGAAGGAGAGGAGAAAGTTGCTCCCTACCATGTGCAGTACACCTGTCTACATGAGGTATGTTGGAGAAGTTCAAGAAAGCATATGACATAGAAATCACTCTTCAGTTGTTGCATGGATAAGGAAAAAAGGCCACAGAACAGTAGAACACTGAAACAAATAACTGCTGCTGCACCTCAGGACAAGTTTATTTTAGATTTCTCACTTTGTGTTGCTGATGGCACATCAGGTTTAGAGTCAAAGGCAGGACAGTGTAACACCAGTAGATCATTCCTGCCAGTAGGAGTTAGAAAAAAGATGTGGGGTCAGCTTTAGTTCTCCCTGTACCGTGTTTTGGGTTTAGCATTTTGATGCTCCATGCACGCTTGCTAACATCAAGAAGATACAACCATTTCTGTCTGGTACAGACATGTAGCTATTAATTGTAAAGGACTTCTTTCCTGTTACATTAATTCATCTTTTGGAGAGAGTGTGAAAAAGCAGGAGAAGCTGACAATATAATATTTGGCTCTCTTATCATCTAGATCGCTTTTGTCAATGTTGAAAAAAATCACCACCTGTAGATTAGTGTGTCTTTCAAGATATTTATTTTTATTGTTCCTCTTCTCTCAAGCAGTGACCCTCATTGAAGTCCTATTCTAAAAATACGAGTACTTTCTGACAGCTGATAGATAATATATGTCTGGAAGTTCAGCACTAGTGTGTATCCACAAAATCCCATTGCTGGCCATTTGTAAAAATTGAATGTTCAGGGTATTGGTGCTCATAGATTTACTATGGGCTAATTACCAAACCTGAAATTATTTCCAAGTCTGGGGTTTTTTTTTGGTCACTGAAAATAGGAAAACGAATCTGCTGCTGTGAGTTTATGGATACACGTGGAGCTAGGTAAGCTGAGAAGCCTTGTGTGATATTAACATCAAATTAAATACTAGCTTTGGTCCTAAGGTTGCTAAACCTAAACTTCATTGTATGCCCTCATCTACTTGAGAGGCTTCTGCAATATTTCTGGTAGGTTTCCTGTGACTTACAGTTGTTAAATAATGAATTTGAAATGTATTGGTCACAGATCCAATTGAAGCTGAAGCACTATGTAGTGAGTATTATATCGTCACAATTTAATTAATTAGCAAGGGCACAGGATAGAGAGGAGAAGGTTTCTGTACAATTCCATGTTGCAGTCACGTTGTGCCAGTTCACTGATTATTGGGATAGATCAATGAGCTGAGTCACAGACCTGCACCACCAGAGTTCCGTTACAAAAAATGTGGTTAGAGTTCATCTTTTTTGTTTATTAAATGATAGTTAGTGCCAGTCTTCAGAAAAATTACAAACAAACGACAGCTAACAATGAACATACTGATGAATATTGCATAGTATGTATTTTCAGAATGCCACTTAAAAGCCAAAAATTCCTATATGAAACTTTTCTTACGTTTAGAATCTATTCCATTACTTGACGGAAGTTAAATCCAATGGTGTTGTAAAAATCCCTGAAGTGAGAGGTGATGAAGCCTGGAAAGTGTACTTTGATGATGCCGCACAAGAAATTGTAGATGAATTTGCAATGCGCTATGGAATTGAATATATTTATCAAGCTATGACGTAAGTATGATTATGGCTGGTTTTCTACCCCACTGTCAAGAATGTGTTTGAGGGAAGTGATGACTTCCAAGCCTTCATGCTTGCATTCTCCATTTCACTCCTGTTCTTGATTTAAAAATCCTTGTGATCACTGACTCGCTTCTCATCTGCAATGGAATTTAAGATACCTTATAAGCATTTTATAAACTGTTACTGGTATTGCCCCTCATGCCCCTCATTAGTTGTTATGATACTGATACGTGGCAATGATCAGAAAGGGTCCCACTGTTCCAGGTGGGATTAGGATGGTGGAGCAGGATTTCACAAGCTGTCTACTCCTTTCCAGGAGCACAGAAATCATCACTGAACACCAACAGTGGCTATAGGAAACTTCCGTAGTCTATGTGAATAATGAATGCAAACCATTTTTAATGGCATTAGAACCTGCTACAACATTGTACGTACTAAAGTAACTGTCTGATCACTTCAGAACACTGCACTAGGGAGCTTAGAGGCCTGGGGATAGCAGGGCTCCATCATGTACTCTTCATTTGTCCAGTGACAAGGACTATATTCTGCTGCTGCTGCAGTCACAGGAAAGCAGAGCACTCCAAGTGAGTCTCCTAAAGAAGAAATAGAGATTTTTTTTTCCTATAGAAAGCTGATATTATGGATTTTTTAATCAGTGCCTCATGTATCTCAATAGAAAGCTGATATTATGGATTTTTTAATCAATGTCTCATGTATCTCGTTTCTTCCACCTCTTTACAGTACATCCTGAAAAGAAGTTGCAATAAGTATGAAGGCACATAAACACATGAAGTTTTCTTTTTATTGCAGGATATAATGATACCATCAGCTATTGCAACGAACGTGTCTTTCACTTTAGGTAGTTCATTGTGAATTATTGTATTGTACATCTAATAGAATGATAGAGGTTGTATTTGTAATATATGCAGTTGTAATGAACTTCTTTCAAGGACCTTAAACAACATCGCACAGAGAAATTAACCGAGCTTGACAGTTCCCCTGTGGTGTTGAATATCTCTACTACCTATGCATACTACTCATGAATTGCATTTCATGAATATTTGGGCTTTCAGGTTTAACTTCTCTTCAACCGTGTATGCCTTTACACCTCGATTAAGCTACGTTGTTTGTTAACTAGCATAGTACTGTAGTTTTGCAACTTGATTGAAACTGCTGTGCCATTTTTACCAAAATGATAGACTTATTCCTGATGTATGTATCAATATTAATTCAAGGGTTTACATGATATGAATTCTCAAGAGCTATTAATTCCAATGGAGGGCTGTTATTACTGACTTTGTTTAGGAAATCAAGCAGGACTGATTTAACGTGGGTGTTTCCTCTTAACTATAGCCCTAGTAGTTGGTTATCTCAATACAAGGTGGCTGTAATTTTGATGGACAACCTTATCTAAAAACAATATTTTCACGTTTCTTTTTCTTCATCCTGTGATGAATCCCAGTATTCTGAAATTCTCCAGAGAAAGTTTGAAACTGACTTTAGAAATTCAAATGTAGCAGAAGTCGGCAGCAAAAATAGCAAGATAGTTGACATGTGAGCAGTTAAAAAGCTTTTTCATTTAACAGTGTTAGAAAAGGACAGGTTATGTTTTCATATAAAGATGCTTTATTTTTATATCTGTAAATAACATATAGATAGCAATGAAAAGGAAGTGAATTTAGTCTGAACACCTGACATGGCGCTGGGCAAGTATTGCAACACATTTTTCAGGAATCCATACTCAAAAATTCTAACCAAGCCATTGTAAGTTAAATGACCTATTTTGGCTCGACCTCTTTTTGTTCTTGCTCTCCTCTGTACCTTTTCCACCAAATTTCCTTGCTGTTGACGACTGGAAACCAAGCATTTGAAGGCAGGTGTAATAAGAAAGTTATTTCAGTACTGGTAGTCACAGGAAATTTACACAGGACATAAAATCGAAGATCTAATTGACCCCATAGCTATGACCATTTACATTTTAAAATGTTGCGTGTTAATAATGAGCAATCCTTATTTGAGGAGCAGACCATGTACTGTTGAAGGCCACAAGTTAGGAATAAAATCAATAATGAACGTAGTCTCAAATAATACTTGGAGAATCCATGTTCATACACATTGTTTTGCTGGTTTATCTGCAGACACATTTCACAGTAAGAGCAATCAGACTTTGGGGAGAAGAGTACTAACGATACTGGATCTGTCATGGGGAATTTTCTTTTTTGACTATTATCTGTTCTTTTTAATTGTGTTTGTGAGATGACCTTTTTCCTCCTGGAAGAACTTTAATGACTGGGAGAAAATGTACAGCTTTTTGATTTAGAAAGTAGAATCATCAGATTCCATTTGGTAACGTTGTGCTCCTACTAAAAGAAAAGCAATTTTCCACCTTATAGCAGAAAGAGAGAGAATTTGAATGTAACCACTTGGGCCAAAGGAATATTGTGTAAGCATTCTGTGTTGGAGAATCTAGTTGTGGACTATCCCTATTGCATGTCTCACGGCAGCATTGTACATTAAAATGTTTGCATTTGTAAAGGCAAGGCTGACTATGCTTTCATAGCCCATGATCCAGACCCCAGGGAGCATCCACATGTTTCTTGTGCCCTGTATCAGACTCAAGTGAGTTTTAGTGTTGCTAATGAGATGGCTTTTTGTCTGAATGTAATTTTTAAAATTCCTATTTGCATAAAATTCGTATTTGTTTGCAGTTTTAAAATAACTTATTACATAAAGTTTCAGTGCCACTTTCAGTCTTGACCATTTTAGGCATGAGTAGACAGTATATGCTGGAGTAGGAACATATGCATTTCTGAATATAACAAAAATCTAATGAAGCCTCCCTAGAGTACCATTTCCTAGAACAATTTGTCATCCTGTTCTGCCACAGTAATAAAAATCCCCACTTGTCTATAATTCCAGGTTCATGCTGCTGGCTTTCTCATCTATGATTCTCTTAGTAGACCCTTATGATCTGTTTCTGGCTCTCAAATTAATATCAATTTGCATTTATTCCTTTAAAGCACAGAAATAATGTTTCAAAAGGATGGCCTTGACTTTTCCAATACACTGAGTATACTCATCAACCACAGTTGTAAACAAGAATTTGGATCAGTTTCTTGTGTCAGTACCTGACTGTGTCACAGAAAATCAGTCAAATAGCTGACCAACTGAAAGTCCTAAAAACATCAAGCTCAAGATCTCTTCCTCTCTCAGCAAGCATCAGCAAAGAAATTCTGCATTTTCTGTGATTTAAAAAGTCATGTGTGAGTCTGTTTGATCCTGGATCAGAAGGAGATTACCTGTGCACCACTGAAGACTTATTGGAATGTGTATATATCAACCCAAAAGATTTTACATAGATGGTTACTTATCTGCCTTAGTCATTGTCCCCGGTGAGACCTTTTTCATTAAACTTACATAAAGAATTCAGGTGTAATTGCACTTGTTGAAGACAAAGACATCCGCACTTTTATGACATTAATTAGACACTGTTCTTCCCTGAAGGATGCCCCCTTAGAAGGGATGTCTTGCTCTCAAGATGTGGATTCCAACCGCCCAGTTTCAAAGCAAGGAAATCTCTTTTAACTTATCAGATGTGGAATTCACATGAATAGAAAATCAATCATTGATTCAAATCCAAAATACAACAACAAGCCTGCTTGTGTGGAAGTAACTGCACCTCTATGAAAAGTCTTGATCATAATCCACTCTTCTTTCTTATGATTATTGTATTACTCCGTTCCTTGTGGAGTTCGTATTGGGAAAAGAAATGAAAGGCAATTTCAGCCATTCTTATATTGGTCAGGAGAGATTTTGTGTGTGTGTGTGATGGAAAGCAGCCAGACACTGTTAGCTATATGAATGATATGCGTGTACTCCCACAAGTCAATGCACATATGTATGAGAGAATAGGAAAGACAATAGATATGACAGAAAACAGATTAACGAAAGCAGAAGAACAGCTCAGTGCTCTAGCTGGCCTTTATTTTGATGACTGCCATGATGGATGGTGATTTATGCTGTAAATTCAATGGCTTGAAGGAACTGTACTGGAACTTTATTTACCTGTATATATTAAACCACCTCTCCACCACCATGAAAAAATAATTTGCTTCCTCTTTCTCATCTTTCAATATAATTTATTTCTCTTCAGAGGGGAAAAAGAAGAGCATGTATTGAAACAGTGTTTGACTAGACACTGAAATGATACATAACGTCAGCATCCTGGATTTGCTGTCTAGTGGAATCAAGTGCATTAAAAGCTTTAATAAGATCTTTACTTCTTATTGGCAAGAATCACGACAGGTAGAACCTAGTACTACTAGATCAGTGACATAGTTCTCATTCCAGCAGGTTAATAGGCATTAACTATGGCATTTTCTTCTCTTGCTAGTCTTCAACTAATGTGACTGCACACAAATCACCCGTTAAAGTATTTTTCGTTGATAGCATCTGCTTACTGAGTACAGCACACTAAGTAGCCTTCTTTCTTCGCTGATTCCCACTAGCAGAACGATTGGAAGGGTCCCAGACATTGCATGTTGGCCAGGAAATTGCAGAGTAAGAAAGCTGAAGTTAGCAGGTCTGGTTTTAGACCTTTTCGACATGTGACTCCATCTTAAACAATGCAGTATTGCTCTAAAATATGTGAGACTGAGCAATGGTTGCTGTGCCATTGTGTGCTTATTAGGAATTGTTAATAACTCATTCTGTTGGCTGCTGTTCTCAGAGACCTACAAAAACAAGGAAGCTTCCCCTTTGTTTTATTTATTTTAGCAAGCAGAAGGAAGCCAGGTGGCTTGCAGATTTCTTTCCTGGGTTATCAGCACTCTCATAGCCGTGACCCATATTGCATGTGATAAACTTAATGGGTTCTGTGAACATTACAGATTTTAATTAAATGAGGGAGAGAAGCAAAAGTTCACATAACCTGTCACTTGGCATAGATGCTTTATCATTGATTTCACTAGCCAAATTACAGGTGCAATAGTGTAGTTATAGGACATAAATAAATGACATCAGTAGGTTTGAATTTTTCTCACAACAAATGAGTACAATTTGGGTCTATTTTCAAAATAAGGTCTCAAGCCAGGCCTTGGGTAGCTCAAAGTGAAAGCGTTAGAGGAACTTGCAGAATGCATCTCACTGAACTTAAAATGTTGACCCAAACTATTTTTCCAGGGTTTATCATGTTCCCTGCAGGCAATTGATGCAATCTCAGTGGCTTTTCACATGATGACTGCTGCTGACTGCCCCTTTTGTCTGCCTCCTCCCCTCACTAGAGCATATGTTAAAGGTACAACTAAAGCTAATAACTAGGGGTTATTAGCGCCTTCTTATCTCCAGCTTAGGGGTTCTTATGCACTAAGGATCTTCAGGTCCACTAGAATTTTGGAAATTAAAAGTCAGCAGTAAAAGTATCTGTTAATTATTTTGATGTCAATGTTCCAAAAATAGTCCTGATCATCTCTACATATATTTCTCAAAATGCATGTGATGCATTGAGATGACTGTTAACTTTAAAGGCTGTCTGGAACTGGGGAGAATCACCTGTCATCGCTCTTGTGTTTTATACAAAGAAAATTATTGTTCCTCTGGTTCACAGAAAACATGCAATGTACAATGAAAGATTTTCCTAAGAAGTAGGTAGCTGCATTGCACTTTTGTCAGATTCACCTTGCAACATTTAAAAGCAGTTTTGTAAAATACAGGCAACGAATGAAAGGTTTGGTGGCGGTATCCTCACGTAGCTGGGAATGCTGAGTTCTAGTCCTGATCTATGTGATTGATTTGCTGCATAGATTTGAGCAGTTTCTCTCAATTTTGTAAAATGGAGATAATAGCACTTAATGATCTACCGTACAGGAAGGCTGGGAAATATTTGCAAAGCACTTTGAACATGACTACCATGACACAATTTTTAAGTATCAATATATATCATCATGTCAGTGCAAGACTGTGATGTATAAACCCAGCATGAAAATACTTTAAAAAGAATCTAATGGTAGAGAAAGCCCACAAGGGGTGAGTCTCCTGGCTTGGCCTGTGAAGGCTGCAAATACAGAGGCACCCCACATACAAAGCTGGCAGCCCTAGATTCTCTTTTATATCAGCCTGCCTCTCTTGCCTCAGCCCCAGTTGGATCCCTTCTTTTCTAGTCTCTTTGCCCAGATAGGTAAGCTAGAAAATCCAGCAATTATTCAGCTCCTCGATCTAGTTTTGGAGTGGGATTAACAGCTTGATTCATCCCAGGATCCACTCCTGTTAAAATCATGTCCTTAACACATCTGAGACTTTGAATGTAACCTCTTCCTTTCCTTACTGTAGAATTCAACATTATGTGAGCATAAACCCTCATGTTTGTACTCTGAACTATGCAGCTTTACATACTGCAGAAGGAAACTGCTACTGCTCAGTGCTGGATCTTCTCCCTAGTGCCTTAAACCAGCTCTAACTGAACTGCTCCTAATGGGACTATGAGGCTCATCCAACCTTTTCTTTCTCCTACTCCTACTGCCAGCTTCCATAGCTGGCTGAGTTCACTAGGTGATCCTGCTCTGGCAGAGGGGTTGGACTGGATGATTTTTTGAGGTCCTTTCCAACTCCTAACATTCTATGATTCTGTGTAAGAGTTCATCACTCTGAGCCTCACCCCATTCCAGTCATGAACCTTTCTGTATAAATGCCCATACTTCTGTGCTGATAGTAAAATGCTGGTTTGAGTCTTTTTGTTGGCATCAGTTAAACCCTTCTCTGCTAGAGTACAGAATCATAGAATGTACTGGGTTGGAAGGGACCTATAAAGATCCTTTAAAGGGTCCAACCCCCCTGCAGTAAGCAGGGACACTGTGGGATGAGATCGCTTGTGGCCTTCTATGTTTCTTAATAATGAATGCCTTGCTTAATAGCAATTAAGACAGTTTAATCACGGTTTTGTATTTAGGATTAACAGAGTAAGAAGCCAATGTGAATCTGATGTGTTAAATTTGAAAATACCAGTATGCAACAGGTGGCAATTCTATCAGACATGTCTGGATTTTCCTTGTGTGTCTGCTCAGTTGTCCATGAGGTAGCTTGAAAGTTAAATCATTGGAGCTGAAAAAGAAGTTGTGGTGAGAGAAAGAGCAGAATCCTTGCCATCTTTAATAGTTGTCACTTTGTTTGAATTGTAGGCACTTCTCCTGTCTGTCTTCTAAATATATGTGCCCCGGCGTTCCAGCAGTTATGAGTACATTGCTGGCCAATATAAATGCTTTCTATGCTCATACTACAGCATTTTTTTACCCCCCCCCCAGCCACTAATGTATCTGCCTCAGATCGGTTTGCAGCTACTAATTTTGGGGTAAGTAGACTTTCTTCGTAGAATACGAGTCCTCTTTTTTCTAAAATACCATTTATTGACATTAAATAAAATATTAAACTTAATTACAATTTTTAAAAGCAAATTGTAGCTGTTTGAAATAGCATGAGATGTACTAATGCTCTTTTCCAGTATCAAGAATAATAGATAAATGAATTTCAGGATTTTCAGGAAAACATTATGAAGTTATACATTTGGACCATTAAACCAAGAAAGACTTAATTCTGCATTTGCCTTTGTCTTCCCATCAGAAGTCAGAGACAAGATTATCAGACTATACTCAGTAAAGTAGTTCAGTCTATGCCTGGAAAAAGGTGGAACTGTTTACTTTTGTAGAGAAAATTTGCTCTGGATGGTAAAACAACTTCTGACTTGTAACAAAGAGTGTATTAAGTGCAGCATTCCT